CCCTCTTCTCTCTCTCTGTCTCTTTCTGAATACTGTCTATCGGTGTGGACGATCAAATTGACCAAAACAAAGTAAAAAAATGATGTTAAAACACAAAAGTAAATTAATTTGGTTGTCTACAAAGATGCTACGGCTATCTAACTTTTCGAATCGAGCCGAACTATGCGGGTCGCCATTTTGTTTTGCCCGGAAATTCTCGCGCTACTCCTCTCTCTCTTTCTCTCTCTCTCTCAACTGCCCACAGACAAAATTGTACGTTTTTAGTAGGCTACAGTTGTAATGGAACGTTTGTTCACGGCACAGAATTCTACAATTTTTATGTTATCACAGTGTAGAATTCTGTGGTTTAGGGTGAACGCAAAATTTGGTGAACTCGCACCGGGTGAGAATAGCCACAAGACTCGCCTGCACTATTCTCACTCCGGGTGAGAATAGAGGTGGCCTTCCAAGGGGGTGAGAATAGCGAGATGTGGGTTATTCTCACCCGGGGTGAGAATAACCACTTCCCCTGAAGTAACCTGCCCCAACTGCATTTTTGGAATGCTGAAATTTTCTATTGATAAGGGTCAGCGCCTATACCCTTTATATAGGGCCGGCGCGCTTCCCGATCAGTGGGTGGGCCCTCTATACTCGGGTAGTCCAGCTCCTATTAGGGCCTGCGCACTTCCGGGGCTTAAATGTTAAAAAAACTCACCAAGTTAGGAGAACTAAGGAAAAACAGCTGTGAGAAAATCTTTCATAAAAAAACAAATCAACCAAACTCACCCAGTTACGAACGGTGTTGCTGATCAGGTAGGCACAACCACTCGCACTCCCCCCCCCCCCCCCCCCACCCTTTCCCCGTCCTTCCACATACCCTCGCAATGACAATACAATGCAGTGCGTGTTCTATGTTTGCAAGTGTGTGACGAAATCCTTGTGGATTTGGGGCGTGATGAGATGACTGTGACGTTTTGACTGCACCGGTGTGACGAGATGACTGGGTATCGTCTAAGCTAACTGGGCCAAGCTACGAGGCGAGGTGACATGGTGACTCAACAAGTGACAATTTCATCTTTACACAAAGTGTAGAAAACAAAAAGAAATGTTTTAAAATGCTTTCATACTCCATACCTTCCTATCCTTTACAATTTCAGTCACCAAAAAGGTGAGCAGATTCAGTCCCAGGGGATCTTGCCAGGTCCAGTTTCCAGTGTTCAAGTTCAAGTAAAGTTTGAAGTTGAACCGACAGATACTATTGCAGTTCTAAACTGTTTCAACTAATCTAGCCTATGTTATCCATTAGCATAAACTTGATTTTTTTATCTTTTACACAAAACTGTTAGATCTAGATTCTAGAAGTTTCACAATTTAATATGACTGTTCTGTTTTTGTTGTGAGTTTGTCTCAGTCTCACAACAAGTCAGTATGACTCTGAGTTGTTCATTTCCCTGACTGCCTGCCTTAGTTTAAGGTTCTACTCCTGTTCTGCTTCTTGAAGTTCTTAATATAGGCGTTCACATCGGATGAAAATGCTGCTGTCATTCTAGGGCATCGCTTAAAAAAAAAATCACAGCCCTCAATGTATGGTAGATCAATGACTACAGATTTTCACCACCATCATTGTCTCCAGCACGGCAGCGGTACACTCCGCCATATTATTATATTATTGTCTTTGATGCTGATACGCAGCTTCCGGTTTCCATAGGATTGGCTACTATTCCGTATGGGCAAACTGCGTAAATGAATGGAGGGCAAATCTCTTCGATGGAGGGTGTCCAAATCATAGTATGGATATTATTCGAAAACTTAAACTCAAATGCATAGAGATCTAGTACAAAATAAGATATATATATATATATATATATATATATATATATATATATATATCAACGAGATTACAAGTTCTAAACTCCGTGAGATATATATATATATATATATATATATACCATATATATATATAGATATATATATATATATATATATATA